GTATTGATGTCAAATATTCTTTAATATATTTACCATGGAAAAATTAAAGTACTCACAAAATGTAGATTGAGAGGCGGTCAATGACTTTTGAGGGGAAATTAACGCATGGAATTTAATATTATTTAGGTTGATATTCTTGCTTATTATTTCAGAAAAAAATCTTAAAAATTTCAATATGAAAATTGAAAGCAATTCAAAAAAATTGCTAACATGTAAATTTTAATATCCTATGCATAATTTCATATTTTGAACATTTTTTATTTTTGTTTAAAACTTAAAATTTTGCGAATTTAATATAATTTATAAAATATAATACGTATATATATTTAAAATACACTAAATTTAATTGTTAATTGACGTTTTTGGGAATGAATTTTATCAAAACATGCCTGAATCCGAAAATTTGAAAGAACGAATTACACAATCATATATGTAGAATTCAAAATACAAACTTAAAGATTGTATACGTTTAAAATTATTCAGATTGTGTTTGATTTCCACTCATTCTGTTTCTTTTGAACTCTAACACTAACATTTCATGATGATTACATGATCCATTTATACATGGTTGAATTGTTCCAGATTCTACCAGAAAATCAATCCAAATTTCTCAAAGCATTCATGTTGATTGGACAAAATTTAAAATTTATCAGCCTGTTTCCAGAGAAACTCATATATTCCCTAATGAAATGTAATTTTTGCTACATTTATTTCAATCAAATTTCAAAAAATTGACTGCAGAGCTTGAAAAGGTGATGAATCATGTTGTTATTAGATGTACATATTAGATTTACTATTTCCAAAAAATGCTCAAATTTGAATAGTTTTTAGAAAATTTGGAATTACACTCCTGACATTATATATAATTAAATGTTTAAATTTTATTTATTTTTCCCTTTTAATTTTATAACGTGCTCTATCAAAACTAACCTCTCAATTGAAGGCCACAAAATCTAAGTAGTGAGGGTACACAAATTTTGTATGGAGTACGGTTCAATTTTTGAGAGCCTCACTACTTAGATTTTGTGACTACCTTATATTTATTTTGATCAATCTTAATCGGAATTCTGGTATTTTATATATGTAGTAAATAGAATATGATAATATAAATTTCATGAAAGATTTATGTAAATATCACAATTCAATTGAGAGATTTCCGAACAAAAATTCACGATTATTTACCATTTTGAAAGGTAATAAAAAAAATTGATAATTATCGAGGCTAATAGGAAAATTAATTGAATCAATTCAAAATTAATAAATTTGATTCTTTAACAGCAGAATTTGTCCATCAGCGTTTCACATCTTGACTCAAATGTATGAATTGCAATCTGCTTAGTCATTAATTCAATCGTTTTAATGATTTAAAGCTAACATATCATTATGCAGCTTTGATTCAAAGTTTCCATCAATATATTTTTTTATTCAACTAATTTAATCAAGTTTCATAATACATATTTTATGCTATTACATGGACATCATTTTTTTTAGTCCCAAAAACATAGAGTTATCAACGATCTTCAAATATCGTAATCCTTTCAAATTCGTTCACATTATATATTAAAATCATTATCTATTCTTGTCTCCTATCAAAACATTGGATTTCTGTTATCTTTTCTGGATTTATCTCTAAAAAATCTATTAAAACTGCTTTTATAACTAAACACTCTAAATATTGAGATTACACTAATGTACGTTTTTCGTTAAATCATACACTTCAACTTGAATATTGTTGTAATAAATTTCTTAATTTTTTTTTGTTTTTGAGATGATTTCCAAAGGCTTTTTGACATGACTAGAAAAATCATATGTATTAACGAAGATTGAATTATTGGAATTTTACATTTTCTGAGTATTTTTTGATTAAATTTGAAATTCAGAAATGATTAAATGCATAAATCATTATAGTTTATAACGGAGAGTACATATAATAATCCTTAACATATTTAACAATCAAATTCAAGAATAAAAAATTAAATAACAATTAAATTCACATAAATTATACTTAAATCCAACTATACCACCATGATATAGTGATATTCTATATCATGAAATCTCCAAAAAAAATTCAAAATCATAATTATAGAATAAAATTTCAAGCAAATTTACACTTAATTTTTAAAATTCAAAAAAATTTGGATATTTTTGCAGAAATTTAAAACGATAAATCATTGTTATTTTTAGTATTAATACCAAATATATCATTAAATTCACCATATTGATTATATGAAAATAATAATTAAAAAGATTGGTGTATTATTGCAAAAAATCTTTAGAAAAATGAATCAATAAAAGATAAAAATTTAACCTCAAATCGAATTATCTGCTAATCATTATAGTTTTAACAATTTGACAGAATTGTTCAAATCCTGGACATATTTCCCAAAATGAAAGTAATATCGGACAATTCAATCTTTTACAAATGTGCATTTACTCTATATGTATAGCAAAACAAATTCTTGTTATGTTTCAAAGCTTAAGTGCAAAAGTCTGCCCCATATCTATATATTCACGACATTCTTTTGAGCATTCTTAGACTTTTTTGTAGGCATAATATATTTTTCTTTTAATATCGTGATAACAATGACAGTGTGGACTACACCTGATAAAATAATGCAACAACAATCAGCAGAAAGGCGTTCTTAATGAATTTTTTATATAACGATGAGGAAAAAATGAAAATCGGGCATGAATCATACATACACTGGCTATAATATGAACGAAATGACTAATGCCTGCGTCGAAAGAGTAATTCAACCAATTGATCACAAAAGATGAAGTGACTACTTTCCAAACATTTATAGATCTTTCAATTTTTTAATCAGCCGAACAATTTAAAGGACAATTTATGTAGTTTCGAAATGTGAGTGAAATAACAAGCCGACCAACTAAACAAATTTTTTCATCGAAGGTTTCAAATTTAATGATTTTAACTATATTAACCTAAATATGTTTTAAAGTGAGGCAATAAAAATAATGTAAACTTCACAATCTCGGGATCACAAAAGATAAAAACCATTCAAATAATTGAGACATTTTATAAAGAAAAATTGAGATACCACGAATATCGTTCTCATATCACTTTCATATAATGCTTGTTGGCAAACCAGCTCCAGCATTCAAGGGCCAAGCTGTCTTCCCAGACACAGACTTCAAGGAAGTTTCTCTTGAGCAGTACAAGGGCAAGTGGCTCGTCCTCTTCTCATACCCACTCGATTTCACATTCGTCTGCCCAACAGAAATCATCGAGTTCTCCAACAAGTACGAAGAATTCAAGAAGATCGGCTGCGAAGTCCTCGGCTTATCCGTTGACTCCGTCTTCACACACCTTGCTTGGATCAACACACCACGCAAGGAAGGTGGCCTCGGCGAAATCAAGTACCCACTTATCGGCGATCTCGGCGCTAAGATCGCTAAGGAATACGGCTTCTACATGTGCGAGGCCGGCCACACACTCCGTGGTACAGCTATCATTGACCCAGAGGGCATCATCCGCCACGTCCAGATGAACCACCCAGATGTTGGCCGTAACGTCGATGAAATCCTCCGCCTTATCAAGGCTTACCAGTTCGCTGCTAAGCACGGCGAAGTTTGCCCAGCTCAGTGGCACGGTGAGGGCGACCTTACAATCAAGCCAAATCCAAAGGCCTCTAAGGAATACTTCGGAAAGGCTAACAACTAAGCTTTCTATTTAAAAATTAAGGTCTGATTGATGTAACTTTTAATCTTTTTTCTAAAACTTTACAACCAACAATAATAACTTATAGCAATCTTAAATTCTTCATAATACATTTTCTCTTTGATCATATCCAATATCATTTTAAGAAAAATCCACCAATATTTAAGATAAATCGAATTTACAGAGAACAAACTCATAATAATTATAACCATTAAAGATTTGAAGCTGATTCAACCGTAAATATTGTAAACGAAACACCGGATTGGATTTTTGATCGTGTGATCCAATTGATTTCAATTAACAACTTGTATACAATAAAAAATACTCTTTTATCCTAAGCAATTCTTACATCAAAATCATCAAGGTTGAATTGTTAGGGAAATCACACAAAATAATCTTAAAATTCACTTAAATACGTAACTCGTATGTACATGATGATACTATTTAATATTCAAACAATATATAAAAATGATAAAATTATCCCCAAAAGAAAACTCTATTGGTTGATCTGATAAAGCTAGTATTATCCGGAGGTAATCTTCTAGCTCTTTGTAAGTCGATAGTTCTACCATTTGGTAAGGATTCTGCTGATTGAATGTATTCATCGTTTCTGGAATCTATAACATGCTCAATAACTTTGTAATCATGGAAACGTTTACTGAAAGCTTTTGTTTCCTTTTTTGGTGGATGAAATTCTCGATGTAATTGATTTTGTTCTACGCGGTAGTTTCTTTGAATCTGTTTAGATGCTAGTTCTTTTTGTCGTTTCAATGAAGAGTTCAATGCACGCTTTTGAACTGTATATTGTGATTCCCTTGTAGTAGATCTCGAAGTTTGAGCTATTTGTGGCTGTTTTTCTTTCTTTACAATAGCTTGATCGAAATTCTCACCTAAAATACTCTTCATGTTGTCACTCCATTGAAACGCACTAACAGGTCTTCTGGAGGATAATGCAGGTCTCATATAAAATCTGTCACTTTTATACGTTTGAGCACAATCTCATTTTATCTAAGACATAGAGTTGCGAATTTTGATTCACATCTGAGAAATAACCCAATTAATGCATCCAAATGAATGCAATTACACGCTTTTACTTTCAATGTCATTCGAATTATTGCAGTGTAAGGCTCATTTTTTCATGGAACCATGATATATATACGACAAGGAAGCTAATTATTTGTCAATCCAAAAATTGTTAATGATTTCAAAGTAAAAAAATTATGAGTTCAACGTTGCAAGGCATATTGGGATATAATCTAAGCAAAGGAAGTGAGAATAAGTCTGAAGAATACCTTGAAGATGAGAAGCCTCAATATGTTGATGCAACAACACAGCAGCAAAACGATGCATTTGCACCAATTCCCATGCCACCTTCACCAGAAAAGAAAACAGAGGCTGAAGAACCACCTAAAGAACAAAAAGAACAAATAAATGATAATCCTCTTAATACAGTTTTCGAGCCATTAATTAATAAAGTTGAAGAACAGAAAGAAGAAGCAACGAAACCAGAAGAAAGCAAACAAGACCAGCCTACAGAAACCAAACCCGAAGAAAACAGTACTAATCAGGAAAAAGCTGATGAATGTAATGATAAAAAAGAAGAGGAAACGAACCAAAATCAGTCGGAAGATAATATCCGTACTGATGTGAATTCTGATACAGAGCTAAATATTAACATTAAGAAGCTTATTCCTACTTTACCTGAAGATGAAACAGAAAATGCCGAAAACAAGAAGCAAGAAGAACCAAAAGAAGATAAACAAGAACCAATAAATGAAATCAAAGAGAACATTCAGCAAGCTGAAGAGCAAATAAAAGACAAAGAAAATAACGAGCAAAAGATCGAAAAGAAACAAGAAGAGAATCCAGAAAACCAACAAGAAAATACAGAAAATAAAGAAGAACCAGAAAAGAAACAAGAAAATCAAATGATTGCAGAACCAATTCACGAAATTCAAGAAAAAGTGTTAGAAATACCAATACAAGAAGAAAAACAAGAAGAAAAAACAGAGGATAAGCCAGAAGAAGCCAAAGAAGAAGAGAAACCAGTTGAAAACGAAGAAAAAACTGAAGAAAAAGAGGAAAAACAAAATCTTGAAGAGAAAATCATCATTGAACCAGTAAAAGAGATCAAAGAAGAAATAAAAGAGTCTGTAGATAACACTCCAGCAGAAGAAACAGAGAAAAAACAAGAAGAAAATAATGATCAAAATGAAGAAAGCAAAACTGAGCTAGAAATGTCAGAATTGATCAAAGAAAAGCTGTTTAATTCACAAGATGACCAAAATAATGAAGAAAAAGAAAATGATTCAAATCATTCCAAAAACAGTTCATCCAGATCATCGAAATCGAGGCATTCCATGGCAGAGCCACTTCCGCCCCTTCCAAATGATGAAAACGAAAACAATGATGATTCGGATAATCACACAGAGACCTTTATTACGACCGACGACACTCCCCTGATCTTTAACTACGGACAGCAGCCATATTTCGATCCTAAAGCTGTCGAAAAAGCCTACAATGACTTTGCAAAACACGGAGCGCCGCCACCGCAGAACCTTAGACCAGGGATCGTTCAGTATATCAACAGGAAGAAGGCCACAGCGCTCATGGATAGCGATTACGACCTCGCAGAACAACTCGACCAACAAATGATCGAATTATCTCGTCTCGGAAACGAGAATGGAAACGACTACCACAGTCGACTTAAGAGCCTTGACACGAGAACAAGTGATTTACAAGGCGAAAAGAAGGCCATGGAAGAAATGGCGTGAAAAACTGCAAAAACACGAAGAAGAATGCGAAATCAGGCTTGAAAAGTTGAAAGAAAAGCAGTTACAAGAGCTGGAAGAGCAGAAAGCTAAGTGGCAATCGCAAGAATATTGCAGGCAGTTCTCTAAGCCATCAATAAGACTACTGCAGCTCCGTCACCAAGAGAAGAAAATGGCTTTGTCAAGAAGATATCATGATGCAAAAGTGACAAAAAAGTTGGCCGATGATTTACAGAGCCAGGAAGAGAAGCAGGCCGAACAATTGTTAGAGGAAAGCATCCGCAAAGAGATAGGGATGATGAGGGAGAAACATTGGCGCGAAGAAGAAAAACTCAGAGAATATAATGAAAAAACAAGGAATGATCTGGAGACACAAAAAGCAAGAGAGCTAGAACCATATGATAGCGCAATGAAAGCTATAACTCATAAAAAATCGGAAAAACCAAATCCGAAATTCACAAAATTGCCAATTAACTTGACATCAGCAATTGCAGCTCAGACATCGACAATGAACCCTCAGCCGACAATTGCAACACCAAGAACAGTGTCTAGAATGAAGCAGTTTCGAACAGAAAAAAAGGAAATTTAAATTTGACTCCTGTTGATGATGAAACATTGTCAAGAGCACAGAAAATGAGTAGAATGAATCCGACACCAAGAGGATCAACACTTGGATCAAGGAATCAATCAAGACAACCAACAAGAATGAATTCGCCAACAAAAAGACCAAAAACGAATTCGGATTCTAGATTTCCAAAATTATAATGTGTTTATTTATTTTTGTTAGATATGTTTTTTTGTATGAATAAATGTATATTACTTGCTAAATAATTTAAATTTATAATAATTCTTGAAAAATATACAAAGTTATCAATATGATTTAAAATGTTAGAGAAATAAGATCATAGTTAGAGTAATAGATAAATAACATGGCTTCTATGGTTAAAAAATAACAAAATTTATCGAAACAAGCAGAAATATTGTCTTCGAACTAGGTTCAAAACAACAACAAAGTGTAGAAAAGCTCTAATCCTATTGGAGAATCATTATTGTTGATAATTTTCCTCATCAGTTGCAATAAAGGAAAAAAAGAAAAAAGGAAATTTGCTTTCGGCGGGACTCGAACGCGCGACCTTAGGATTATGGGACCTACGCTCTACCGATTGAGCTACGAAAGCTTCCACATTTTAGAATTATTTTGTAATCATATCAATTATTTAACAATTCAAATTTTAAATTTTCTAAAACATATTAATAATTGAAAACCGCTTCACTCATTCAATTTTTAATCTATTTTGGTAATATATATATATAAATCATGAATATATAAGTTTAAAAAAAAATTCAATTATTTAGTAAGAACTATGGTTTAATTTTTGCACCACGTGATATTAGAAATTTAGTTGTTTCTTCCTATTATGAGTTATTGAACAACTAAGGGGAGTCATATATGAACCCTTTGCATTGATGTCTGCTCCATTGAAAGTAAAGTTTCTATAATTTCTTTATTACCATTACATGCTGCATGATGAAGTGCAGTATCATTCAGTTTATCTCTTATGTTGATATCAGCACCATTTGAGATAAGAAATTTTACTATTTCTTCACAACCATTTTCAGCGGCATAATGAAGAGCAGATTTTTTATAATTGTCTTCAATAGCATTGACATCAATACCGCATGCAATTAGAAGTTCTTCAATTTCTTTACTATTTTCTCTTGCTGCAAAATGAAGAGCATTAAAACTACGAGAAGTTTTTGCATGTATATCAGCACCATATGCAATAAGGAGTTCTGCTGTTTCTTTACTGTTAAACAATGCTGCAATGAAGAGGAGTCAAATCTTGATTATTTTGCATTAACATCAGCTCCATGCGATATAAGAAGATTTGCAATTTCTAAACTATTATATTGTGCAGCTATATGAAGAGGATTATCTAACATACTTTTAATTGTAATGTCATCCATGGCAATAAGAAATTCAGCGGCTGATTTGTTATTAACAACTGAAGAATAATGAAGTGCAGACATACCTCCTTTATTTGTAAAATTTATATCGGAAACATGTGAAAATAAATATTCAATGAGATTAGGAATAAAAAAACAAGGTGAATAAGTAAAACATTCATTAAAATCGTTTGTTTGATCTAAATAAATGAAATATGCACGAATATTATGATAGTAATAGCAATAATTCAATTCTATTTCGAGGTTGTGCTCATTCATTAGATAAGTAACAAAATCAATGTTATGTACAGCTAGTGAATATTGCATACAACTGCCATTAATTTTTTGTTCTTTCATACATTCACTCATAATATCTGGATTTTCTCCTAAAAACGAATTATAAAGACAAAGACGAGTAGTTTTTGAATTATATTTTGATCTCAATAGTTTGAAACATTTAACAGATCCATAATAACTACATAATTCAATCAGTGAATATGGAAAGTCTTGAATTGGATATAAATCAATTTTCGATTTTTGATTTAAATTAAAACCTTCTTGTTCAGTGAAGGAAATAAATGCATCAATGTCATCATTCACAATAGCATTATAAATTGTGTTTTCTTCATGAAGATTTGGAATGGATTGAATAATGTCATATTTATCAAGGTGAAATTCTTGGCAAAGTTTTGTCATGAGAGATTTGTATCCTTTAACATATCGATTATTAAATCGAATGATACCTTTAATAATATTTATCATACTATCTGCACTAGAATATGATGTTTCGATCAAGTTATTTTTGATTTGTTTGTAAACATTTGTAATTTCTTCACCTTCGTTAGACCGAAGCCTGTGTAGTGCATTAAATGTATCATCATAATCTTTATATTTACTGATAAGCTCGTTATAAATATGATGGTCGCTCATAAAAAAAGTATTTTTATCGGCGTGAAGACACAAAACAAGACAATCATTCAATATACCATAGTGAATGCATTCAAATACAAGAATTATACTTAAAGTCGATTTATTTATTGAAATTGAAATTATTTCTGTTTGAATACCAGAAAGAAAGAAAAAATACTTTGTATGCTCATTTAATTCTGATATCAAGAAAAAGCATGTGAGCATAGCAGGTTCAAAAGAATTTTTTTCTACAAATGCTCAATCGAGTTAAAAATACTAATTGAAATATACGAAATTACAAAAAGTAAACATTTTATTCATATATTACTTAAAACT